GTGCCCACGTGGGGGCATGCTGCTGGTGTGGGGTGACCTGACTGGCTCTGCCTTGTCATCTTGCGTAGGAGGCTGCACCTTTGTCGTGTTCTGGCTTGGAAATGTTCCTTCGGCATCTCTGCAATTCCAACCACTACAGTCCAAGTCCTCTTGGATTCTTCCTGCCGACACCCACCAATCCTCTGAAAGTATACCGGCTGAACATTGAGGGTGGGTTTGGCCAACTTCGAAGGATGAATTTAGACCATGGGCGAGTTTGACCGGTATACTATCGAAGTATACCGGTAAAAGTTTCGGTCAATCGTCTGTTGATTCATCACTTGCCTCCGAGCTTGACCTCTTTGACCGGTCAATGTTTTGGCCCGGATCTTTGACCGGTCATGGGTGAAATACACCCATCAATAAGCCCTCCACTTCTCGGTTATGCAATTTTGTCATAAGCGGGAAGTAAAAACTAGAATAGGACTTCCTAATTCGAACTTTGACTTTTCCCGCCCGAAATTTCAAAATTTGAATTTCGAATTTTGAATTTTGCCACGCGTCGCCCACCAACTGTTGCAACCGTCGGTTGGCAGACCCGTCGTTTCGTCTGCCCGTAGGTCATCATTGCGCCGCCCAACGCGGCGCGCCCTGCATGGGCCACGTCGCCCTCTCTCTCCTTCCTCCTCGCCTATATAAAGGCTTCCACCCCCATTCATTTCTTGACTTCTTCGTGTGCGTCTCTCGAGTTTTACCGGTCAAGCTCCTTCTCTCTAGCTTCCTAGCCCTCCGAGTCAAGTAAGCTTCCTTCCTTTCTTTTATTAGCCTTCTTTCTTCATCTTTCCTCCCGGTAAATGTCTTCCTCTGATAGTCAAGACATCTCCGCCTCAGATGCCCATGCACCTGAGGAATCCCTATCTTCTTCTTCGACCGGGTCGTCTTCTCCCATCCCTAAGACCCGGTCGATTCCAAGCTCTAGCATCCCCGAACCGCGGCCGGTAAGTCAGATGCCCGGTCAAGTATTTCAGGAGAGGGATGCACCGGTCGAAGACGAGCCGGCTCCCTATGACCCTGACGATGAAACGTACGAGGAATGGGTGGACCGGCTAAATGCAGCCGGTTATTCTCCCCTTCCCACCAACTACCCCGCTGACATAGTCCCCCGGGTTTCCAAGATTGCTCAGAACAAAGCCCGTAGGAATCTCCCTGCAGGGTATGTTCTTGAATACGACCCCTCCTGGCCTAATATTATTGAACCCCACCGGGATGATAGGTTAGGTTTCCATATAGTTTCTCTAGAGAGCGGCACTGTCTTCCCCCTTCGTCCCCTTCTGATCGAGTTGTGCCGCTGTTTCAAAATCCTCCCTGGGCAAATTACGCCCAATGCCCACCGGTTCCTCAATGCTTTTGTAAATATCTGCGTTGAGCTCAAAATCGATCCTTCCCTTCGTCTGTTTCTTTTCTTGTTTGAAGTCCTTCCCGGTAAATCGGGTTGGACGGTTATGTCTACTTTAGAGGCCGCAACGGCCGCCAGTTTATCTCAGACCTTCCCCAAAGCAACCGGCAGTGGAAGGAGAGATTTGTCTTTATAAAATTCCCCAACGACTCTCCCTTGGCCGGTATAAAGTGAAACGATCACATCCTCCAATCCCAATACGCTGAGCCGGCTAGCGCTCCAGACTTGGAAGAAAGTTTGGAGAAACTTCTACAGGGGGATCCCTTCACCGGGCAGATGTTCCACTATGGGGCCTGGATCTGGAGGATCCAACCGGGTGGTAAGGGTACCCCTCGGGCCCATGAGGCAGCGGGGCACAGGGTACGCCCCGGGCAATACTGCTGAGGTCGGGGGCCCAAGCCACCCAGGTATCTCTCATTCTTTCTCGTTCATTATCATCGGTCAAAGTTTTAACACTCACAAGTCTATTTCCTGTTTTTGTAGACATGAACTTCAGAGCGTTTAACATGCCGAAGAAAACCGGTGGCTCCTACTCCGCTGCCGCCACAAACGAGCCGGTGCAACCGGAAACGGTTGTGATCAATGATGAGGAGGAAGATCTCCGGACCGGGGGGATGGACCAATCAGGGGACGCACCGGTGAACCCTTCTCCCAACAAAGGGAAGGGGAAGAAGAGGGTGAAGCACGTGGCCACCGCCCATCCATCCTCTAAGAAGAGAAGGGGAGAGCATTCCCCGGTTAAAGAATCAATGGAAGAGCTTTGGGTCAAGGTGACCCTTAAGCTGAAGGAGGTAACGTTCTCCCGGTAATTCTTCTAATCGTACTGTCTGCTTGTTTTTGCTAACCGGTCTGATCTTCAATTTGCAGATGGGCGAGGTTGGGTCCGAAGCCCTGGAGCACCTCACCGGGGACTCCTCCTCCCGGTTGGCCCAACTTGAGGAGAAATTGAAGAGATCCGAGGCCCATAACCGGGAACTCCAGTATCTGACAGCCCGCCAGCTCGAGGAGATGGAAAACCTTTCTAAGATGGCCGGTGAGGCGAAGGCTGAAATCCTCCAGCTGAAGGAAGAGAACCTGAAGCTCATGGAGGACGCTGAGCTCAAGGAGAAGGAGTTTCCCGGCAAGGCCCGCCAATGGATGGAGGAGAACCTCGTGGAAGCTGCCCGGGTGCTCACCTCTTCTGAGGAGAGGACAATGGAGGGCTTCAAGTTGTTGTACCGGGAAGAGCACGGAAAAGAAATGATTACCCAAGTCGGCTCTTATGGTTTCATGTCCGGGCAGAAGAGAGACCGGGAGGCCACGCATGCAGTCTTGGCGGAACGCGACCCGGCCTTCTCCGCTGAAGCATATGGTCTGGCCCCCATTCCCGATGAAGAGCCTGAGCCCCCTTTCCCTCTGGAGTAAATTCTCCCCGGCTGCGCCCGGTCACATTTTGAAAACCTCACTTCAAAACTTGCTATTTTCCCAGGGATGCCCGGTGTATTTGTAAACACTTAATTTTCTTATTTTGTCTGAATGCCATGTTTAATTTTCGTACCGGTTAATCTTCCATATCTGCTTGCTCCATGATCGTTATTCTTTATTGCTTCTTAGAATACCATCATAGAAACTCTGACCGGTAGGTATATCAGGCCACTTCTCAATTGTTTGTGACCGGTAGAACTTCCAAGTTCTTCTTGATCACTTCATTTGAAAGTTCAGCTCGAGTAACTTTGACTGGTTGAACTCCAATTTGACGGCCAATTTGAAAAAATGTTTGACCGGCTAGGCTTCCTTTTGGTTTTTGGGCACCTTCGTTCTTGTTTTGAAAATGAAGCGCAGTTTGACCGGTAGGTCCCTTCTCCATGGTCTTCCCGGTGAACTGCTTTGCCTTGTGGAACTTTCGAAGTTCTGCTGTATCAATACCCAACCGGGGTATTTCTTTTTTTTTTTAATGACCGGTAGGTTGTAGATGGAACACCTGTAACCTAGTAATTTCTTGAAGTATCCTTAACCAGTAAGAATACTGGAGAATTAACCATGTTCGAATGGTTTCGAACCCTCTCCAAGGTTCAAATGCACCCTTCTTCCAGGGCCCCCTCTTCCGGGTGATTAAGTCTTTTAATGGCCCTTTGATTTCTACCATCCCGGGAAGGCCTTAGCTCACCCCCCCGTTCAAGTCTTCCCTGAGAAGGGGGAAACAGGATGCGCCACGGTGGACGATCCCCTTCTATTTCTTTTAATGGGCATCTTTTAGTCCCCAATCA